AGCTTTCATTTTTACAAAAAGTTGACACATACAAAGACTACTTTAGAATAACATCAGATCCATCAAAACTTCAGTGCAATTAATATAATTTATGGAGGCGTTCATTCTTGTAACACTTGTGTCAATCACTTGGTCAAAATCCACTATTATCTAAAATGACAGGCAGGTTGATACTGACAATGTGTTAAATTTTGTTTAAGCAACATAAGGGACTTGACAATGCAAAATACTCCCTTTAGAAACAAAATGCATTTCCAGTTTAATATAGAACTTACTTATTTTCCTAGGCTAGACTTAGTGTTAAACTAGTTTGAGTAGTCATTTGTTTTGACACTTCTGCCTCACTTGTACACCACTTCCCAAAAATGCTTTATTATGGCAGGAAATCTATTTTTAAACTTTCTTGACAAAAACAAAACCCATGTTTTTACTTGATCTGAACATCCAGAATTTCCAAGGACTACAGAATTATCCTTTCACATGCTTGCACTTGTTTCTGTCTTTTTATTGAGCTAGATCTACTTTTCATTGTCAAGGTCAAGGAATAGTTAAACCTTACTTATGCTTTGAGTCTCTTTGATAAATGTTTTTTTTTTCTACAATAAAAATTTGTGGTGGTTTATTTCCTCCAGGAAATACATTCACTGTGTAGAATAGTACAAAATATTGATCAAGACCTAGTACTTTGAATATAATGGTGTTCCTAGCTCTGCTTTGGGGTTGGCTTTAGTTTTTTTAGGACAAAGCTGTGGAGTTTTTCACAAAGCGTAACTCGCTACATCAGCAGCTCGGTACCGAAGCGTTGCTGCAGTTCACTTATAAACCTTGGAGCGTGTTCGTGATGAAGTCCTGTGCCCTTGAATCCTTCTTCCAGTCTTGGATCTGTCCCATTTTAATGTTGTGGACTGAAGCGTCGGCTGCGGGGGAAACCCTGCCAGCGCCGTCCTCTGACGGCTCATTCAGGCATGAACGGAATGGTGCGATTGCAGCTGTACATTTGGCCATTTACTCCTTTTCCTACTTAACAGCAGTAGTCATGTAATGCTGGCCTTGAGGGCTTACTTAAATAGGGAAACCAAATAATTAAGTATGAGCGTTCCTGGCCCATCCTTCCACTGGCTTCTGATTTATGGTTAAAGGTGAATGTTTACTAACAGGTGTTTTCATCTTCAGTTTTAGAGCTTGTTTTTAATAGAACCTGTGTGCCAAGGTTGGTTCAAATGCAGGTGAAGGGTTGTTTACCTGAAAACTTACCAAAAAAACCCCAAACAAAAAACCTCCAAAGCATTCCTTGCCCTTTCCCTTCGGGGATTCCTGTGGTTTTCTGTATTTTTTTCTGGTTTTTCTGTCCCCATTCTGGTTACAAAGTTTACTTTTTGCATGTGTGATGATCATATTTTACTGCCCTGTCACATTTTCTGGGTAACTGGGCAAAGCCTTAAAAGTGTACACTCTGTCAGCATCTAAAAATAAAGCCCTCTGGAGGTGTGACGTTCTGGTGGCAAGGCTGGATTTGTCACTTGACCACAGGCGTTCAATTACTGTTTGTGTAAAAACTCCCTTTCTCTTCACTGACTCCAGCCCCCATTTAACAGGCATGAAATCACCGTCCTTTGAAGGCATTTATTCTTTCTTTTACTAGAAAGCAAGCTCAGCTGATCATCCTCTTCAAAGGTGCTAACCAAGGCATTACCTTAGAGCTGGTAACAAAAATGATTAAATGTCTTTAAAACGTTATGATGTTGCTATTCAAGTTGTACTCTGAAGCTTCTTGTTACTTAAACAATAATACTTTAGACAAGTGAAAAGCTCTAAGTCCATGACGGGGTTAGATTTTGGGGTTGGTCTGTTTGCTGCATTTTCATAGTAGAGTTTGTGGAAGCAGAAGTTGCACAGGGAACTGCATTCCTTCCCCCCTCCCAAAAAAAAAAAAGCCATTGAGGCTGAAGCCAGCAGAGAAGAAAGCTTTTAAGATTACAGGTATAGGCTAGCATAGCTGCAGGATTTATCAGTAAAAGAAGAGCAGCTAACTCTTCGTCTCTTCCTCCAGCTGGACACAAGGGAGTGTAGTTTGTCACCTCAGCACCGCAGCGATGCCTGAAGCAAAGTCTGCAGGGTAGAGGCTGCTATGAATGCAAACTGCTTTCTGTTCATCCTCATGCTTTCTCTCCCACAGAAACCCAAATCCCCGGTAAACTCCAGGAGCATCAGTCATGTGGACAGGCTACTGCCGCTCATTATAGGCAACCATCATCTGGTGTCCAGCAGGAACAAGAGCCGTCTTGAGTCTCCCCTTCCTTCCATGTTACAAAGCCTTTAACTTCCACTATTTTGAGCATGACAGAAGAAAAACATTTGACTTTACACAGGGTAGTATTTTGAAATATTTGTACAGTCATTTCTCAACCAAAGAAATGAAGACAGACCAAACCAAAATTCTTTAGTAAGCACATGGGAGAATTTTTAAACAAGCAAACGTCTAAGACTTGCTAAGCATTCAGTAATAGACTACTGTTAGAATACAACCAGTCTTAAGACGGAGAAATTGAAGGTTGGCTTAAATGAACCTAAAAGGCATCAGAAAGGATGTTGGACACGTATATGCATGTTCAAAGACAAATTTATGGCTCTGCAACAGGTATGGCAGTTATTGAGAAGTGATTAACCACTGTAAGGCAGACGATAAACAAGCTGCTTAGCCAGCAAAGTCTTTGGGGTTTATTCTAAAACGGAATGGTTTTGTTCCTAGCTCAGTGTGCAAACAGCAGTAACGTAGGTAGGTTTTTTGCACCTACCTGCAAGGGGGGAGAGGGAAGATTCAAGCCTGTGGGAGGTGAAAGGGGGCATTCCCGAGAGGTAGCCAGAGCCGTGGACGGACTCGGGTGGGTTTTTTGACCACCTAAATAAAGGGACACTGTCTAAGTGATTAGCCCTAGAGGGGCCAACAGGGCAGACGGCAGGTAAAGTATTTCACTCTCTCTGCTTTCAGCCATATTTAGCATTCACCTGTCATCTTTTTCTTTGACAAATACCTAGGCATATGAAAAAAATAAATCACTGTTGAACTTGAAGAAAGCCGCCTCACATTCTTTCTCACTTTAAATATTGAGAAACCCAGCCTGTCGAGTGCACCAGAGGCAACAAATTCACATGCAAATCTACAGCCTTACCCTCTTTCAAGTTATTTTTCTTCACCCGTTGGGGAAAAAAAAAAAAAGCTGATATACAAGACTATATAGGTTTTTGTTGTTGTTGTTTTTATAAAATTTGTCAAGATATCACAAAATTACACACACTAAAAGCTTAATTTGCACATTTTCCAATGAAAAAAGTGACAGGAAATACCTTATTAAATCTATTACCTGTATATACAATTTCAATCCAAATTTACATTCGCATTATTTTCTTGGATAGCAAAAGGCATGGATCAAACACAGGATTGAGATGTGTCACTTCAGCGTATCTATAGGATATTACTTGAAATATTGGTATGCGTTCATGTAAATTCATTTAGAACAGGCCATTTGCAAAAGGCTCCATTTTGTATTGCCATCGTATGAACTGTTGGGAAGGTCACTGCTAACAAACTCCTTTACAACGCCAACATTTGTCATTTGTTCCCTTCACAAGACAACAGCTGAAAAATTAATGGACTTGTTACAACCTCCGAGATCTGAATCAAGTTTAAAACCCCCGTACGTGGCTGTGCGGTCCGTTAGGACACCTTCATGGATTAAGGCATTTGTGCTAGACAGAAGTTTTTAAATTTAAGTTAATTGTTTTCTGCAGTTAACCAACCAAAAGCTGAAATTCTTCTCACCTACCCTTGCAAGAGATACATTACTGACTCGGTTCTTTTTGAGTCTTTAAAAAACAAAAGTAGTGAGGTTAGTAAGAAGTTACCGGATACAAACATCCCCATCTTTCAGCTACAGAAATGGATTTCTGCTTGAATAACTTGCATTCAGTGAAATTGTATTAAGACCTGTTTGAAATTATTTAGGCTTAGCTAGCACAATTTAAGCAGAACTTCATTCAGATATTGCAAAATAAAGCAAAAAATAAAATTTACAAGGAATACTTTGTTACCCTCCAAACTCATTTTTATTACTTGAAATATGGAGAAAAAAAGCATTAAAAATTATGCCTCCCCTGTTAGAGTACTTCATAATCATACGAGAATTCAAATGAAGACACCTCTCAAGCCAAGAATAATTTGAATAGTTTGCTATTTAAACAACCTGCACAAACTGTAGATACTGTATGTTAATTTAAGACACTATGAAATCAACAGATCCATTTCCCCTGTATTTTTCTTTTGCTTGAGTTATTAAGAACCAGTACTGAAGGAAATATCTGCAAAACTATCCCAGTTATGTCCACTCAAACTCCATACTTAATAAAATACTAACTATGGAGACCCTGAAAAAAATAGAAACTGTGTCTTTAAATAGAATCCAGAAATGCAGTTTCATATGTAGCTGCACATTCTCGAGTGTGCTTTTGCACAAACCCACACTTTTTAATAGTTAGATTCAAGAGCAAACCAATCACGTAGACCCTTCCTTTACATTTAAAAAATCTACATATAACGTAATCTTTTTTGCTTTGGTACAAATAATGGGAAAATCTGGGTAAAGAAAGCACAGTAAATAACATGGGTATATCATACCTTTTTTTAAGAAATATGAGCTGAAATGTAAGGCATCCCCAAAGTATCTTTTGCATATGCAAGGAATGCAGTTCTTTGTAAACAAAAGCTTGAAGAAAGCAACACTGAAGCCAGAGAATCTTCCCTAGGATCCTTCCAATGATCCCAAAACCAAGAGCAACTCTCCTAGGGTAAGTGTTTTGGAACTAAATCCTGTGAAAGACAGAATCCAAATCCTTTGTCTTCCCATACATTTTTAATCTTGTATTAGATTGGCTCGCCTTGAAGATCTCCAAATTAAGAGAGCGATGTCAAAGTTGATTCTGAAGGGCGCAAGCTCGTCCTACGTCTATTTTTCTGGTACATCGCTTTCTATAGATTTTGTGGCAGCACCGTTCTGGCCTGTGGATGCTTGCACAGTATTCCCACTGGTAATGTTTCCCAGTGCCTGGGACTGACGGGCAGCGGCGGGTTTAGCGCCAAGAGGTGTTTTAGAAGAGTTAGACTGATGTCTGCGATGACCTGAATCCTCACCTGTTGCAGCAAGCGGTCTCTTTCTGCCAGATTCTTCACTAATAGGAGGCTGAAAATAAACATTGGCAAACTGAAACGCTTCTCTGTAAGGCCAAGTATTTGCCTTTTCATACACTTAGAGGATTAAAAAAAGAGCATTCCATAATTAGGCCCTTTGTTACGCCTAGTAACCTTAGTTATTCACAACTCACTGATGATATTCTAAAGTTTTCCTGGCCATTTAGCTAGAAGAGCAAGTGCATGACGTAACTAGGGACTTCAAACAGTCTTACAGCATTATTAAATCCTCACCTCCCAAATGTCTGCCCCAACTCCTAGAAAGTGGAGGATTACAGAGGATGACGGTCATGTAGCGCGCCATACCCCAGTTAGGAAAAGCACGGCAGCACCACATGCTGGAATCCCACAGGTTAACAATTCCGCCTTCTACAGGAAGGAAACCTTGGATTTGGCACCTGAAGTCTCAGCAAGGACAATGCCTGTCACACCTCATTAAGAAATGCCAGTTGGGCATTAATTCATTTGCCAAATTCTTAAGCAGAATAGAAGTCATCAGTCTTACCAGATGACAAATAAGCTATTTTTTGCTGTTTATTTCATTACACAACGAAAATGCATCAACGCTTTCTACATTTTAGCCACCACACACCTCAGCACCGTACTTTGGTTCAAAACAGAACATCTAGAACAAAACTGCATTTTTCATTTGAAATTATTTTTTTTAATCATGCTTTTTCAGGATTATGAATCATTAACAGGATTCGTAAAGCTGCCTTTTTGAGAAATGAAGTACTGTTCTCGGTTTACTTTGCAGTAAAAATATTCGTACACCAAATACTTATTTAAAAGAGGTACTGAAACTTACATCCACTCTGAAGTCCTCCAGTCTCTTAAATTTACTAAGGTATTCTTGCAGTTTGGGGTCAATGGCTGGAGTCTTGTGCTGAGAGTATTTTAGATAAGCCCAAAATTTTTCCAGTCCATATAGCTGACCTAATAACAGAAAAAGGTAATTTTACCAATTACAGAGGTCAGATTTCATTAAACACTTAATTATTCACTGGTAACTACATGTTTAAGAGAACTGAAGATAGAAGGAACATGAACAAAAGCTGCTCTTGGGTTAGTGAACAAGTCAGTGCCAAGGAATTGGGATTCTCCCCCAACCAAAGTTACCCTGGTGTGAGCAGTGACTGGCCTATGATAGTTACCAGCTTCATAGTCTCTCTTCGTTTCTTCCTGGAAATCCTTGAATATTTCTTGCCTGAATTTCTTTTCTAGGCCATAGCTGTAAAATCTAAACAAGCATTCCAATCCGTACCTGTAACAGAACAGAGGAACAAAAACCTTTTACGTATGCTGCTCATTCCTCAGAAGGATGCAAGTTTTCAGTCTCTCCTTGCATTTAGGTAAATCTCATAGAAAACACTTCCTTTTCACATCATTTTTTAATCGACCTATTGTTCTGAAGCATCTTCACAAATAATCAAAACTGACTTAGGAAAATCCAGTTTGTCCCACCTTTTCAACTTACGAACTACAGAGACTATGCACGCTTACACAACGAAGACAAATGCTTTTGCGTTCTCAGTACATCTGTATACACAAAGTTTCAACGTCAAACCAACACAGTGGGTCGGACCAAAAGTCAGTGCAAAACCCAACGTGTAGGGCAGGACTTGGTGTTCTTCCAGCTCCCGCACAGCCCAGCACCAGGGTTTCTGGCTCCGTATTTAGTAACGCTCTGGCTTTGGCTGCCACACCGTCACCAGAGCCGCCATGGGCCTCCAGAGAGGAGTTGGACCTCCTCCCGTTCTGCATTCATCTGCTGCCACCATAGTGCCCTTACGAGCCTTCTGAACCTCCTCCTGGTAAATGTATCCTTGGATAATCACAGAGCATCAAGAAAGCTCAGAGCAGAGACACAAGGTTTTATTAAAGCCGCCTTTGCGCCCAAGGGACCACCACTGTGCAGCCTCAGATAACACATCCGAAATTGAGGGTTTCCATAGCCAGAACTTCCTCACTTGGCTCTCAAACCGCTGGGCTACCTTGGCTCTTTGACTAAGAGAAAAAGAGACAGGGGGAACTGGGTGAAAGGAAGGGAACAGCATCAAAGAGCTGAAGGGGCAACAGTAATTTCCTCTGTGGTCAGTTTTCTGGTGTTTTTGTAAGGCAAGAAGCAGTTTGAACAAACTGAATGAGGTTAAGAATGTCTTCACCCATGGAAGGAAGAATCTTACGAGTGTTGGTAAGTACAGGGCTGACTTGTCACGGTCAACAAGCTACAGAGTTTTGTAGAATTCAGGACTGATTACAAATAGCTAAATGTGCAGCATTTCCCAACTTACCTGCAAAGCATAAATATATACAAACTGATTTTTAGCATAAAAATAACTTATACAGACTGATATTTTAAAGATTTACAGAGTCAAAGCCAACACTAAAAATGGTCACTTCCAATGTCCGTAAACTTCACAGTCATTAAAACAAATGGTGAGACCTGAACGGTTTCTAACTTGCAGGAAAAAGCGAATACCTGTAGTGTTCTTTTGCATCATCTAGAGCAAGTTGTTTGAATTCTTCATACATTTTCTTGTTAAAGTGATCTCTCAGAAAAAAGGACCAGAAACGAAAAAGTGTGTTCATTTCTTGGGACTGGCCGATTCCCAACCGTTTCCTCTCTGGAAGAAAAAAGAAAGGAAAAAAAAAGCCCACACAAAGCTGTTTTTAATTTTTCAGCAGAATACTTTCAAGTGCTTTTCCATTAGTAATACATACACAAGATCTTCCGGTAACTTAAGTTTAATTCTGAGGGTAATTTTTTTTTGTCAGGGAATGTAAAGTTAAATGGAAAGCAGAGTTCATAAAATAGAAGCATCAAATAAATTTTGCTTTCCTTTCCCAAGAAAAATTAAGGAGGAGAAAAACTGGTATCAGATGACACCTGGTAACTTCTACCTAAAATTTTAGGAAGCACATTTAGCAGCTTACCCGTTAGACACCTGCGACGATACTTGTGGTACACCTGTTGAGTAAAGCCATTTTCCTTTAACAGTTCATGAGAAGGATGCTGAAATTTTGGAAGAGAATTTGGAGTACACCCGTAACTTCCTGCTAGCGGAGCTCCTTCTGAAGGCGAAGCATTGGAACTGCTGAATTAAAACAAAACGAACGTAAAATACCACAACGTATTTCTGTCCTATAAAGAGTGCTTTTCTACAGAATCAGTTTTCAACCATTCTGATCCACGCAAGAGCTGTCAGGAGAGGACAGTCACCTGCCGACTGCTACAACGCGTGCCTGGGGTCCCAGTCATCTGCTTTTGGGTGTACCTCAAGAGAATCGGATTCTGTGCTAACATGTCAAAAAAAACCCAGGCAGTTTTGGATGATGATAATTAAACCTTACTGTAGTGCCTGATTTTAAATGACCACTTCAAGGCAAAAATCCCTGAAGTAAACATCAGTACTTCAAGTAATATTACTACTACTATATTGTGGATCAAGAAACAACTTAGTGAACGTAGTTGGACTAACTAGCTTACTTCCAGATAGCTTTCTATTCTATTGTTTTGCCTTTCTTGATGGCTCTTTTCTTGCTTCCACTCTATTTATGAATTGTCTTTTATGGTAGCCTATTTCTCCATTAGCAGTAAGAACTAATGACATCGCAAACAAATTTTCTACGACAAACAAATTTACCTCACAGAGGAAGTTCTCGGCCTGTGGTCTCTGGAATCCATCACCCAACCAACATGGCATTCTAAGGGAGGATTTGTACTGTGTCGTGTTTTTCTTTTTCTTGGAGTCTAAGAAAGTAAATGAAGTATTTATTTCCCTAATTTAATTTCATGCATTCTCTCCCTCTTAAAACAAAGTTCTAAAAATTTTATATTCTATCTAACACTTTATAAAGTCACAACACCCCAGTTTCATAACCTAAAGATTAGTCTTATGTAAGAAATTAAAAGCCTTTAGACATTACACTTTTTCTCAAAAGTCCTTGCTGAAATGTTACAGAGAAAACTTGGAAACCATTTTGTAGAAATAAAAAAAGAATGAAACATGGTAAATATGTTGAAGAGAAACAATAAAAAAGTACAAGCATTGCATTTTTTGCCTTTTCATTCTTGTTAAATCATACGCACAGGCATCAGCTTTATAGGCTTCTTCTGGTTTTTAAAAAGATATTGCATCTTTACTTTTACCTTTACATCAACGGATCGTGCTTCTTTAACCACAGGGTAGAACCTGGGTGTTTTGTTGGGATCCTGCAGCCTCGGGGTGCGAGGTGTTCGTGGGGTGACGCCAGGGTGAACACAGGGGGAATCTGGAACTGCTGTTGGCAGCGATCGAGCTATTGCTGACGTTGGAGGTACTTCGATACTTAAATTACAAGCCAGCTCCACTGCTAAATCTGAGGCAGGAAGGAGGAAACATTTGTTTTCAAAAGAAACTTAGGATTGCAAAGCCTAAGCTCCCTTGGTATCTACTATCTTAAAGGCCTGTTTCGTTTCAAGTGACCTGCATCATCCCCAAAGGATAATCAAATAAATAAAAGCACTTGGTGTAGAAGGACAAACTGCTCAAAGCTATGAAGTAATGTTTCAAGCATGTCTTTGCTAGAAAATTTAAAACCACTTCTTTCTTACCTGCTTGTCCTTGTGTGTCTACACTAGCAAAGTAATGAAAAATAAACATTGGTGAAAGTGTAACCTCGTTCTTGCTTTTTGGTGAGGTGGTGGGTTTAGTGAGGTGGTTTTCTTCAACTACTTTAAAGATGCTATTAGCATGTATCCTAGTAAATGTTAATACTACTACTATCTCAGAAATACCTCAAAAGATAAGATTTGGACATTGTGACTTCTCAGTAAGGTTACGATACAAGCAGAAAATTCTTCTAATCTCACTCTGTTCTATCCCCATTTCCCACAAAAATACTGCTTTCTAGAAAATGTTTCACAACATCACTAGCTATTACTTTACACATTGGAAATGCCAAGTTACACAAAAAGCACCTGGTGTTGGTATAATGTGACAACAAAATAGAACGCTGCCTTTTGATGCTCTTATATATCCTGAAAAGTACGCCTACCAGCTGCTTCTAATTCAATGGAAACCACACTACAGATGAAGAGCTGACAATCTGAAAAATTAGCAAAGAAAAAGCCCCTCAGACTGCTGACTGAACCCAAATTAAGATACGACACAGGCAGAAAGAGTTAAACACACCTACAGAATTGTTCTTTATTACAGAGATTCTAAAAACAAATACGTATTACTTACCTTTCTGCAACCCTGGAGGTCCTGGAAGAACTTCTTGGGTTGGATCAGCAATGGGTTCTGGTGCAAGACTATCAAACTCTTCCTTACTAATGAGATTTAACTTCTTAAAGTTCTCAATCTCTTGCTGAATTAGAAAAAGCATACTGTCAACGCAAAGCGTGATAATGGATATCATCCCGAGAAACAGGTGAATTTCATACGAGAGAACACACACAAGCCAGAAGTGACCCACAACTACCCACAGCCAGCCAGCACAGATTTCTTTTCAGGACGATGGAAGGAGTCTCTAAGACACACTGTAGAAACGGTTGCCGTGAACACCAGGTATAACCTAACGCAGCTCACGCTGCACCAGCCAAAAGAAAGAGTTACACCAAAGGGGCGAATGGAGGCAGGTAAGGCCATCTACACCCAAATTTTCACAGACAAATAAGAAATAGGAACGACTGAGGTCCCACCCCTTGCCAAGCCCCAAACCTTCCTTATTCTGCAATAAGTGTGCCGAGGAGGGCCCTGGCAATTTAGGGGAGCAGAAGAGGCCCTGCTCCCTTCCTCAGGCTACATCTAAAGAAAAGCCAACATTAGTAAAGGAAGTGGTTTGTTGGGGTTGTTTTTTTTTCTTAAATTTTTAAAAATTTATCTTACTCAAGCCCCTACTCAGCTGAAGGCGGGGTGGGACACACGCATGCGTGCATGCTGTGTGTGAAAAATCTTGTTTAAACCATCAAGAATATAACAAAACCAAAAATATTTTCTCTTGTTGTGTGCCATTTCTCACTGTCCTCTTCCAGTTTGCCGGTTTTCTTGGTCCATTTCCTTTGTCATAGAAAGTCCATACGCTGAATTCTACCTTTATTTCTTGCTCTTACTCTCAACATCCATTTCTACCTTTGTTAGCTCTTTTTTTGTACCCACACGCTCCATTTGCCCTTTAAGCTACTTTCCCCCCTCCCCACCTTTACCCTTGTGCACAAATAAAGCTTAGCATTCAAGTAACTTTACATTTCTGTACACCTAACACCTACAGTGGGATTGCTACAGACGTGCATCTCGCTGGGCTCGCTTGCACAAAAGAAGGGGTTTCTTATTAAACCAAGAGCAGTAAGGTACAGGACTGCAGCGTGCCATGTTGACCTCTGCCTTTGCCGTGCTGGAGTTCAACTCATCTGTCATTTTACAGCTGCTTAGTAATATTTTTATAAAAAAAAAATTAAAAAAAAATCACAAAGCTGACAATCTCCTTGCAAAGTTTGGAAAGCCTCAAAGACAGGGGCCCGTGTACAGGCTAGGAAATAAAAGGGTTTCTATAATAAGGTGTGCAACCCCAAGTTTCATTTGCTCATGGAGCTATCATTCTAACAAGCCACAAGGCAAACAGCACCTTAATATAAAACTACTTTAAAATGACCGTATTACCTTCCTCTCTTACTATCTCTTCTCAGAAATGTGCCTCTTTCCCCTCTAGCAGGGGTTTGCAAGTGTTATGAAACAGACTATTCATAGAACAAGAAAACACTGGACAAGTTGAACCATATCCAAAATGTTAAAAATAGTTCTAAACCCAATATTCATTCAATGTTTTTAGTCAAATCTGTGACAAGAAAAACTTGCTGGTTTTGCTTTCAACTGTTTACAACATTATCTAAGTAAAGGAATTCAATAGACCTGTAAATTCAACTACTGTCACTTTTCTTTCAAAGAAGGGTAGCATTTTACAATTAAGTAGCAGATGGCTGAAATCAATTCTGGAACTGTTTGGACAGGCATGGTTTTCAGGTCAAAAATGAAGAGAGTTACCTTCATCACAGTGTCATTTTCACTCTGCTCCATCCACAAATCCTGTTCATAGTAGTATAAGCCATCGTTAATAACTTTAGCAAGTTCTGATGTAATTTTTGCACGGCATACATGGTTGCCGGTACGATCTCCACCAGGATGTTTTCTCATATATGGTGGTGTCTGTGTTACAATCAAAATCTTGTTTACGTCCTGATCATTAATTTCATAATCAGAATCGCTGTCCGACCAATCAGTAAATTTATTCTTCCGACCTTGAATTTGTTCCATCTCTTCATCAAACAAAAAATCAAGTTCTTCTTGTTCTTGTTCCTCTGGAGGTGGGGGTGGCTGTTGTTGATCTGATGTTTGATCAGGTACAGGAACACTTTCCTAGGTTAGAGAAGGTGATGCATTTTATATTTGAATTGGATAGCAATTATCCAAATGAGAAATAAATAGATCACGATGAAACATTTTCAATAAAGAAATGTACAGGAATTAGAAACAATACAGCCACTTTCAGGTGTTTATTAAGCAAATTACTGTTCTAAATAATTCTGCCATAAGCTTTTAGAACAATTCTCAATGCACATTACAATACATTTTTCAATAATCAACAGGTACAACTGTCCCTCAGCAGAAAAAACACACCAATATTTTCTTTTCATTTCAGTGAGCTTTGGATCATGATTTTAAATGCATTTAGTTACTCTAGGTCTGGTACAATGAGAAGTACACAGACTAACTGTACTGCATTATCAAGCATCACATACATTAAGACGTGAAAAATCTTGTTCTACAGTACAGTGTCAAAGTTGGCAGTTTTTGCATCTGTTTAAATAAACATAACTTAAAGGTTTTTGATTTTACCTTTAGTTTGACTGTGGATGCACGATGCCTCTTCTTCACTTCTATCCAAGGTTCAGAGTCCAAATCAGGCAAGCTTGTAGACAATCCTTTAGACATTACCCGAAAATTAGTTGTTTCAGTGTTTTCCTTCGGATTCAGTGGGCTTCCCATTCTCGGGGAACTTGGTGCAGACTCTAGCAGTGGAAAACAGTAGTTCAGTTCCTGTTGTGGTTGTTTTGCTGTTGGTTGGGTGTTTGGTGGTTTGGTTTTTTTTGGTTGGTTTTTTGTTTTGTTTTGTTTTTTAAATTGTTTCACTAGTCTTTCTTTGAACTGCAGCTACCATTTTTCTACCTTTCTGCTCAAATATAACACTGATCAGCAGAATTTCTTTTCATTTTTCGGAGACAGCTTTTCACAGCTCACTCAACATTTTAGGAAAAGATTGATTCTAGCAACTTATGTACGTGGAAAGTCTCTAACAGCCTGAGAGAAATTATGCATCATTTAGAAAACAAGAGCAGCATCATTAGGGACATGTTTTCTCCACACCATACTCCGGCTCTACGGTTTAAATTGTTTCACTAGTCTTTCTTTGAACTGCAGCTACCATTTTTCTACCTTTCTGCTCAAATATAACACTGATCAGCAGAATTTCTTTTCATTTTTTTCGGAGATAGCTTTTCACAGCTCACTCAACGTTTTAGGAAAAGATTGATTCTAGCAACTTATGTACGTGGAAAGTTTCTAACAGCCTGAGAGAAATTATGCATCATTTAGAAAACAAGAGCAGCATCATTAGGGACATGTTTTCTCCACACCATACTCCGGCTCTACGGATGGCTGCCTTACTCAGTCTTCATTCTTCCCATTTAATTCCAGCCAACACAGTTTAGTAAAAGATCTCCTTGCCAAGTGTTGTCAGCGAACAAAGCCATCTCCCCATTAATAGTGAGAATGAGATCCCCATCCAGAACCAGGATACACCAAATAAAGAGTTAACGTTCAGCTGCTACCAAAATAAAGCAGATTTTACAACTAACTTAAGATTACTATTACTACTTCTGCTACTCCTACTAAAGGAGTACAGTCCATCCCACTATATTACGGAGAACGGTCACAGCCGTAACACAAAAGAGACATTTTTATCTACTTCACATCAGCGGTGCCAGCCATGTGACTTGGCAACTGCACGGCTGACAAGCATATCAGCTGAATAAACCGTTACCAAATGTACAACTTCTATTATGAAATCAGTATCAAGAGGCAAACTTCCTAGGCTAGATAGACAGTCCTAAACCTATGTTTCTATAAAAAAATCCTTTACCAGTATGTGAGCCAAAAATTTGGCCTGGTATGAATTCTGGACAATTGATGAGCTGAGAAAAGTCAGTTGGTGGCAGACTGCACGGAGGAGGACCTGGAATTGGCCACTTTTCTGGATTAACCTTTTTTCTTATCATCTGATCCACAGTTTCAACTTCTGTGCTGTCTTTTAGGGCCTGCATGACAAACATATTATAACTTTTAAAACTTGATGTATCCAGCACCGTCCAAAAAAAGAAAAAACCCACAAACTCTGCCATTTATAGCCTCTTTATAAAATCCTTGCCATCGCAAACAGAAATCTTTCTTAACTCCATAGCACTGACTTTAAATGGCAGTACAAAATTGACCAAGCAACTTTCTACATATACACTTCTGAATTATTTTACCTCCAAAATCAGTGCAGCGTTTGTAGTCAGAGCTTGCATGCGACGGAAGCTAGCAATCAATGAAACGGGCAGAAATCCTTGTTGGTCCATCTTTCTCCTCAGAAAGAAGTCTCTTTCCAAATTTTCTGTGCTGAAATAATACTCACTGCAGAAAGAAACATACAAATATGAGCCCATTATAGGTTAAAGAAAATCCTAGAACAGCAGCTTAGAGATTCCTTGTTAAAGTCTTCCATTAAAAACAGAGTATACTTTGTCATTGACAAAACCATTCTTTCAACAGGTGCATCGTTATAAGCGAGACTTACAGAACAGCATGCATGGTCGACATGGTACGAAAGCCTTATGATCCAGTACAGTACACAGGGGTACAAATCAAAGCCTTGTTACATTTGCGTACATGAACTGCAGAAGGAAAAACTATGCTCAATTTTTCTTTCACCCATCCCCTCCCTTATTACTTACATGAACAGAAGGAAACAACATTCTCTGAGCCTCCACATAGAGGAAGGCCAACGACTGCTTACAGTCAGGGCAGAAGTTATTTCCCACACAGCAGTATCAGTGCACCTCCATCCTGAACTGTACCTTTTCTTTTCCCAGATTCCAGTACATTAGAAGGTGTAAGTATCCTATCTGAGTGTTGAGGCACATATATGTATTATACTTCAAGCATGCTTGTGGGAAGATGAGAAAACAAAAATAGTAATGTTGTATTTGTCATGAAACTGTACCAAAAGGCACAACAGCCCACGGAGAAAGGTAAAGTCTAAAAGAAAAGATGATGTTTAGTGGATAAAGACATGAGGGACAAGGACCATTTCAGGAATCTGACAATACCACAGAACAAGAGAGACAGGGGACAAAGAAACAGCAGAGAGACAAATCATCTTACACAATGAAGCTGCTCTATGAAATGATCAGAGTGTCAAGATATTTTATACTTAGTGAAGGGAAAAAGAAAGAAATTCAAATCATGATCTGTCACACAAAGCAAGGGAACGAGAAAACTTCCTATGAAAAAGAATGGGAAAAAACCCAATTTAATCATGACGACTAAATCTAGGCCTTTCACAGAGTTTACACATCATACCATGATTTTACACATTACATCCAAGGAATACTACTCCTCATCAGGTTCAGGAAGACGTACATAGTGAAATATTTAATGGACAGCAATTAAAATTCTATGACATAAAAACAGAGGTAGTGCAAAAATAAGACAAGAGGGCATTAAAATGCTGAGAAAAAAACCACACATGCAAATGTAAATAAAAGTTAATTCTAATTCCAAAAAAGTATAAAATGCTAAGTGTCTCCAGCGAAGTTGGGATCAAGGCCAAAGTTACCAAGAGGAGAGGACTCTGATGCCATCATTGACCCAAGGAGAAGCTTGATACCATTTCTTTCTCTAATTTTTTGGTAGCTAAAGAAATTCAAAGTAAAAGCTCTCTATATGAAACACTCAGCTCCAAGACAGAATGAATATAAAGTCTCAAAGTTGGACAATACAACAAATGAAAACATTGCCATTAATTCAAACAGAGAAAAGAAAAAGGCTTTTGGAGAATTAAGCTCTTATTCAGAGCTAAGTAAATTGATCAGTCAAGCAACTGTGCATGAAGAGAAGGTTTCTTTCAAGAATATCCTATTTACTGTTCTGAACTGCTACATTTCTGTTCCCCTCCCAATCTAGAAGCAAGCACAAAAGTCATATACCAACATTTTACTAATGTTACCTTTACAGTCATACAGTAAAGGTAAAATCTTGTAACGATTCACCTAGTTAAAAATTCCACAAGCAGAAATGGACAATGACTGAACTTGACTCAAACTGCCTCATTTGATGTCCATCACTCTAGAAAAAGGAATGTGAAAGACCATTAATGATAAATGAAGACAACTCACAAGTTCGCTCCAAGTAGAGGGATAAGCCTAAACACACACACACCCCCTCCAGCTTTTCATTTTCCTCATAGTCCCTTCGCTTATTCTTGAATTGATGCAGACTTGGATGCATGTCTGAACATTTTTTCACTTATTTTTTAAAGAAAGAGGACTTTAAATAGAGTTCTACTGCATGTTGCAGACTGAGAAGTTGATAAACACTGAAATTTTTCAGGCTGACAACTTCAGCCTGTAATAAAAAACATTAAAGATATTTTTATATGTAATACAAATATTACTCTCTTGCACATCAAGCTGGTTCTTGGGACAAGCATAAACTGCTTGATAGCAGTGTATTTCTTACTGTAATTGGACATCAACTCCGTTGGACACAATCTCTAAGATTTTTCCCTATTAAGCAAGTAAATTGTTTTAAAATTCATCAATTCACTAGGATTCAAACCAATCTCACTTCTCTAATATATCCTGATTTATCTTGGACTCCAGAAGGAACTCTGTGTCTTCACAGTTCTGTGTAGTTTTATTTTGTATATGCTTCCTTCTTTGGCATAGTCACTCTAATATTTTATAACTAAATTATGAAGGGCAGACAAAACCATCTCCATTTAGAAGTTAATAATAGGTAATTGATGAATAAAGCCTGTTTCCCATCAATTTTAATGTGATAAAAAAAGCGAATAGATTAAAAAAACCACTTTTTTTTTTTTAAAAAAGGAGCATGAAAATAGTGAAGTGGTATTCTAAACCTGCTCAAGAATCTCCCTCTCTCTCATGGAAAGCAAACTCCATAATCAAACTGCCTTAGGAGTTCATATCAGACAAGCAACCAATGGCTCTGGTTAGCCAGCCAAGTCAAGTCTTCTATTGACACCTGCCAACCTCTTGTTGCTACAATAAAATACAAATATAACCAGAAGTCAGATGTGACCAATGCTGTAACTGACATTTTTCTCAGCAGAGGGGGACATCATCATGTCCTACCTTAGAAGGTCTGGATTCTACACTGCATGCCCAGAAATCTGGCCAACAGTGGAGTGTCTGTGCTCCTCCCTCACTTGTCTGAGGACAGTGCAGGCCGATTGTCCTGACATGGGGGTACATGTCCACTGTCAGGTCTCATAGGGGCCTGGCAGCAAGAGTAACAAAAAAGACTGCAATAGAAGTTTTGAAGTTGATAGCCACATGCCAGATACTTTCTGCCCTTAAAGAGGCTTTTCTCTTCCTTTTTGCGTCAACTGTAACAAAAGAAGCAAGAATAAAATAAGCAAGTTGCTTTATGGAATACAAGGGCAATCCAAAACCACCACAAAGGCATCGCAGAGAAATGCCGTTGCAAGTACAGAGGATGAAATATCTGCCAGTGGTGGAAACTGTCTCTTTAAAATGAACTAGCGGTTTCCAGGCCCTTTTTGACTTGTCTCCTGGTGATAATCAGTCTTCCAGATGGTTTCTCATTGCCTAATGGTGTACACGAGAAAGTAAACATTTCAGATTATTGAAAAATCAAGTATCATTGCAAAACTACTCTCTTTCAGTTAAATGTTTCAGGTGAAACACTCTGAAAACATAAAACTAACAAGACTTCTCAAAGTGAAATTGAGAGCAAATAAGGGAAACGTCTAGCTACATCACCCAAGAAAGAGCTTTATAGGCAAACAGACCAACAGTACTCAAAAGCACAAGCTCAGAGACATCCATATCTCAGTTACATGACAACATAAAGAGAGGGCTACGTACCATAAATAAAGCAGGTATATGAGTTAGAGCCAGACTACAGCACAAGACGCAGAACAGCTTCCTTAAAAGTCCTCCCCATCACTCAAGTTTTTCCACCCCACTAGTGAATAAATTCAAGCAGGCACTGATAATGGTCAAATCAAAAAGTTAAAGTGAAACGCCTTAATCTCCATCTTTATATGGATAATAAGGATTAAACACTGTTTGAAAAGAGTTATTTTATCTTAACTAGATCCCTAAAAATATTAGTACATTAAACAGTCTACTTACATTTGATGTTTTATATATTCTTTGAGAAGTGCTTCATCCACAGAATACATCTGCACTCCTGTTCCATCACTATAGTAATACATCACACCAGCATTAAGCTCAGGTTGAAATATTTGGTCAGTTCTTTCACCATACAGTTCTTGATAACCAAGTGAATATTCAAAGTTCACTTCAAAATAAAGGAGAACATAAAAGAAAGATGATGAAAAATATTAAATCCAGCACACAAATATTTTTAAGGCATGATACACACTGCTATTTTACTGTTGGTTTTCACCATCTGAATTTAAAAAGACTCAAGCTACTTTACTGTATTGTTACAGATATCTTTTTTGAGACAACTCTTACTTCATGTGCAAACAACAACATTATAAGCATAGTTCTAAATTTTTTGCTAAGCATCTACTTTCTTTGCATACTTCTGGGGTTTCCTCTGGCTCGTCCTCTTCCTCTGCCTCTACCTCTTCCTCTGCCTCTGGAGAATCCTCGGACGCTGCCACCCTCACTTCTCACGCTGCACACTTCATCATGATCATCTCTCTTTTCTCTATCACGACGCCAATCTTTAAGAGAAAAAAGTATAATACTTGTAATCACAATTAGATATCACAGCGCCAAGAAGTCCCTTGTAACGTAGAGTTGTCAGCTTGCGCCCAGGCAATCCACTGACTCGGTCATGCTGGCTGAAGCAGAAGGTCAGCTCTGAAGCTACGAAGGTTTGCCCAGCCATGCCTATGGGCGAGTCGGGCAGAAGCTGTTGGCAACAAAGAAGAGTAAATGGGCTTGACTGGCAGTCAATCTTGAACGCCTCTGAAGCAACTGGACACCCTGGTGCCAGCTCAGGGATCACGATACCTCGGATAGGCTTGGGACGGGAGGGGATGATCACGCACTACTTCTTCCAGGCACGGTTACACAGTCTCCTCCTGTGGACAACTCCCAGTACCTAGAGAGAGCTAGGAAGAGCTGCTAGCTCTTGATCATCCCGCTCGGGGTGGGATTTCCACAGCAATGACTCTCTGGAGCCTCCCTTTTGCTCCCAGGAGCAGCCATCTACTGCTCCCTGGACTCTGCCCGTTTAACAGCAATTGTTTATTTTCTGCCAGTCCTGCCCCAAACTGAGCTTTGAAGTTAAGGACCCTTTTTTGAGAACACATGCAAATCTAAGACGACTCTGTAAGAATCTATGTAAGTTTTTCGTATAAATATGTGGTCTCAATATAACAAAAGAAAGCAAGAGAGAAGCAGAAGAAGAAAGGAAAGCAAGCAGGTCCAAGCCAGACCCCAGGGACCTTGGCTCCACTCACCACAAAACTTAAGGACAGGTGTAATTCTCACTTTACTCATGACAGAAAAATGAAGCCCTCTCTTGCACCATTTCTTTCTCTTTTCCCAACACTCTTTGAGACTTCCACCTTCAGCCAGTCACCCCTGCTTAAAGTTTAAGTTGTAATTGGATAGTTTTCCAGATGCCAGGGGACCTCTTTGTCAGAGGAATGC